AGAGAGAGAGAGAGAGAGAGAGAGAGAGAGAGAGAGAGAGAGAGAGAGAGAGAGAGAGAGTTGACATTGGAACTTGGTGATTTTCGGGCTCTTCCAGGTTCAGTGACATTGCGATTGGACATTGTCTGAGCGGCGACGTTGGATATATATTGGAGACTGGGTTCATTGGGGTATGGTGGCTGATCCTCCCTATCTCCGTCTTCCCTTCGCCTCTCCTCCCTCCTTTGTCCGTGGATGGTGTCCAGACTCAGCGCTCCCTCCATGATTGTAGCGCTGAGTCCACTCACACAGAGTGATGGTGAGTGCTGTCAGGTCCTGTCATTGTCTATGCTGAGTCAGATCCTGGTATTTCAGCCTTCCGCTGTGCTATTTTTGTATTGTCTCTTAGAGGGTGGTTTCCTGGTTCTGATTGATGCCGATTAGGCATGCCACATTGGGTCAGCTGTTTTTTGCCAATTGTCAAACCTTCTTCCAAGGGGATTTTGAGGGGTTTGATGTTCTGGAGGAGGAGGTGGGGAGGAGGAGGGGATTGTGAAGAGGTGATTGGGCAAGGTTGGTTGCTATTTGCCAAGGTAGTGATTCCAGGGCAAGGATTGGGTGATGCGCTCCCTGCTGCTTTGGTTGGCTAACTGTATGTCGTTTTTAACTGTTTGTTAACTGTGCTCAATCTGTTGATTCTCCTGTATGTGCAGTGCTTGTAAGGAGGTTACCAGTAATATTCATGTGGTGTCACATTTGCCGTTTGAGAGTATGCGGGGAAAAATTCTTCTGCGGCAGGCGGCATATTCACTGCTTCTGAGCATGCCTCTAGGAAAGGTGGGGAGGATTCGCCGATTTGTATCATGTTTATATCGCTGCCATGCCTAACCTCACGTTTATGTGCCTTGTCAACCTACAAATTCTCTACAAGACCACAATGACAATTTTAATGAATCTGGGGTGCATCAAAAATCTCTGGTATGTGGTCACAACTTGGGTTTCCTGTTTCTTTTTTCAGTTTCCAACTCCTGCTGTGAACTGGGCCCAGCGTCCCTTTGATAGCCTACTGTGGGTGCTGTAGTATCTTGACTGGATGCAAAACTATGGGGACTGTGTGGTACTGTTTGGCTGGGTGTGCCATCATTTAGGCCTTCTGTGGTACCTCATGGGCTGGCTGCAGTACTTATGTGAGCCGAGTGTGGTGCTAAGTGTGTTGGGTGTGGTACGTTGTGGTCTGGGTGTGGTGCTATCTTCACTGCGGTGCACTACGTGGACTTGGGTGTGTTTTTTTTTTTTTTTTTTTTTAATTTATTCATAAAGGTCCAGGGTGTAGTAGAGGGTGGCGACTAGGCCTCAGGGAGAGCTCCCTGTACTCATTCGTTGGGAGGCCTGATGGATTGCAGGATCCCTAGGGGATTAGGACTCAAGGTAGCACCACCTAACTTATATTATTGCTCAGATCGCAAGTTGTGACCTGCGCCTGCGCTTACCGGACTACGCCCGAACGCTAATGCAGATACTACCGTAACTCTACGGTCAAGGACAACCCGGGTGCAGGCCAGGTCTCACATAGAGCGGTCATCCCTTAGGCCGCGCCACACCCTAGGGGACTCTAGACAGCGAACTGCCCTTTCTCCCAGGGTGCGATAACCCCAACCAGCCCCCCCCAACATTGCGCCAACCTATCGTAATCTACCCCCACATACTGTTCCCCCAACGAGTATTTCACGAACGGCCCCACCTGGATGAAGCGCTGCCCACAGGTATCCGAGGGTGCCTGTGGGATGAGAGTGCCTAAGAACCATCCCATACTACCTCCTAATTGTGCGTGGTTGTCCCCCCGAATATGGGTCGCTTGTGATACTAAGCGGGCTGGGTGCAGCACAACATGGCTTGGTGCGATAGAATGTACCCTGAGGGCTGGGTGTAAGCTGTGTGTTGGCTGCGTGCAGTAGGCTTGGTGTGGTGCAATGTGGGATTGGTGGAGTACTATGTAGAGTGGTTGCATTATTATGTGGGCTGCTGCGTGTAGTGTGTGGGCTTGGTTTGGTACTATGTGGAATTTGTGGTGTACTATGTGGAGCTGTTGCAATACTATATGGGCTGGGTCTGGTACATGGGGTGGGTGCAGTCCTGTGTGGGCTGGGAGAAGATCTGAGTGGGCCGGCTGTGATACTATGTCGGCTGGATTTGGTACTATAGAGGCTGGGTGTAGTGCTTTGTGGACTCGGCGTGGTAATCTGTAGGCTTCTATGATACTATTTGTGCTGGGTGCAATACTATGTGGGCACAGGCAGGTACTGTGGGCAGAGGGTGGCACAATTTTGGCTGTGTATGGTACTATGTTGGCCAGGTTCACGTACTATGTGGATTGGGTGTGGTACTATGTGGATTGGTTGTGGTTATGTGGGTCAGTTGAGGGAATATATGGGCTTGAGGGATATGGAGCAGGATCATGAGGACCTTCTTGAACGGAAGAAGAAAAGAAAAGAAAAGAAAATGAAAGGGTCAGGTGTGGTAATATGTGTTGTAGTATGTGTGGGGAGGTGGAGGAGAACAAGCGAGAGATACAGAGGTGGGTTGGCAGAGAGAGAGATAGAGAGGTGGGTGGCTGTGTAAGTGTGTGTCGTCCGTGCTTCCCTATTGTGAAGTCACAGTTCTTTTTCTTCTATTTTTTTTGTCATAAAACTTTGGACCATTTCTTGATTTATCCCGTGTCATCCTCGCACAGGGGCCATGCTAATCTTCTCTGTACTATCCCAGTTTTAACGGATGTCTCAAAGAACAGTCACAGTTCTATAAGCAGGAGTTATCTCAATAAGCAAAATCAGAAGTTTTCTGGCCACAGCTTCAAAGGAGATTCATCGGAGTCCAAAGGGTGTTAGACTGTTTTCAGAAAGTCCCCAAGCCAAAATGCGGCAAAGCACTCTATCTCCCAGCCCTGATGGGGGAGAAGTGCATATCTGGGAGTGATGTAGTATATATCTGATTTTGTTGGTTGAAAGGAACTAGACTGATGGTCTGTAGAATGGAATAAAACCACGACCATGCGGTAAATGTTTATAACAGAACAATGCAACATGTTGCACACAGAGCACTGAGTTTGGTCGTTGCGCGTTTCATTTCAGGATTTGACGACAATCAGTAGACCTCATGGGGTGCCTCTGTTTGATGTGGTCAAGGCCAAGACCAAGCGTGGTGTAAGTGCGCTGGACCTGATTGACCTTGTAGAAGCTGGGGATATTTGGCTCCGCAATACAGAGAGTATTGTTTCCAGCACTCAAGCGCTAGAAGGTTGGGCAAGTTTTCTTCAGCAATGCCATGTACAAGTTCCTGTCAGCAACACACAGCCTGGTGCCTCAACAGTAAGTTCCAAGCTAATCAGTTTGATAACTTTGATCTGTTGTGTTATTTCTTAATCAGTATGGTAAAAAGGAGGCCGCACTTCGCATTTGGGTGCTGTATCTTCTCTCTTTCTCACATGTTCGCGGTGGATGTGAACGCGCCAATATGAGAAATGCAATCAGACTCGGATCATTCACACTTGTCTTGCATGCAAACAGCGATACAGCAAACTGGCGACATGTGCCCACACAGTACTCAAAGATATCGTAACCGGATAAGAGTTCTCTTCAACTGGCTATGGCGGCTCTGCGCCCACACAACTCACTGTTCGCACGGTGGATCACCCTGGATGTCCCACACGCAACACACACACACTGTACTACAGCTATGGCAGCGCTAGCTGCCACTAC